AACTTCTTTTGTCGGGAAAATAATCTGTGGTAATTGGCAAACATGCTGGGATTGTCAATGATTTCCAGTCAACACCTAAAAAATAAGAAGTAGAATATATATGAAAAATGCAATCTGCATTTAAAATTACTTTAAATAAATAATCTATTTAATATATAATGTTAATTTCATATCTACATAAATACTAAGTTTAAATATTTGTAGCAGTTAATACAAAATAGTATATAGAAGAAGTTTTCAAAACTATTGTACAGTGCAAGTACACATTAGATACTCTATGTACCCAAACCAAAAATAAATGATTATATTAGTATAATAATGTGTATTATCAAGATGACCATGACTAAATACTAAAGCATGCAATACTAGATCTATTGTTTGTAATGTAATTTAATGAATTCTCAAAGCATAACAAATTACGTTTATAAAAATAACACTAGAGAAAGTAAACGTACATATTGATACAAATAAGTTATATGGATAATAATTGTATAAAAAAGAAAATACTTTGATAATTTGTATAAAATCAATTACCAAACACCTATCAAATAATATATGCTACTTCTTATTAATGTATAATATAAGTAAATGTGGTGATTAAAGCAAGATGACAGAGTGAAGGATTATGAAGAATGAGAGAATGTTTGAAGAATATATGAACCATAAATATATTAAATTATAATACATATGAAGAACCAGAAGAAATTAGAATTTTGAATAGTGCAAACATTTTATGAAATAAATAAAAATAAGAAATAATGAAGAAATTCTATGTAGGTGTACAAATAATCGAAATATAAATAATAAATATTTAACAGATTATTTATAGAAATTATTTTGGAATTAGAATCACTTTCTGCAACAGAGAACATACATGCATAGAAGAATAATAAAAACTAGAGCTATGAAGAACAAAAGTCGCTACAAATTTAATACCCTAAAAATAAATGTGTACCATAACCGAATCAACCCCCAATAACTTATGGCGCTAACCTATGATTGCTGTTTAATGTGACATCATAGTTGTACATCACACACGCGTCAATGCGTCCAGCGTTGCATCCCAATAAGACGTACCATAGCATGGAAATAAATGTAATAATATTATTCATATAAATGATCGCTGAATCTCAAAAATAAATATGAATATGTCTAAGAATGAAAATACTTCTTATGCATGATGATTGTGTGATTATGTATTAAACTTTCATTCATTTCTTGAAAAATAATATTTTTTCCTAAAATTTATATCAACTATTTTCATTCTTTAAGAGATTAAAGAGTTTTAAAATATATTTATTAATCCTTCTTGGTATTAAGTGTGAATGAAAACTTTTTATATATGAAATTATGTATTAGTTAAATAATTTATAACATTACACCTACATTTATTGTTCTGCCAAGAAGCATTATATTTCTGCAATTAATTGTCAAATATTTTGTTTCATATAAATTAATTGTTTGCTTAATCAAAAATTGTTTCAAAATTCTTTCTTCAAACTGTAAACTTACTTTATAACCATTTGTGAATAATATTGTAAATAATATTGTTATTTGGATATATGTTATAAAATATTATTTGCCAGATATATATATATATAT